TCATAATGGGTATCATCCACAAATCAACAAACAACAAGTGCTGGTGAGGATGTGAAGAAAAGGGGACCCTTGTGCACTGTTGGTGGAATTGCAAAATGGTGCAGCCACTATGGATAAAAGGATGGAGGTTCCTCAAAAAATTAAAAATAGAACAACTTATGATCCAGTGGTTCCACTTCTGGGTATTTATCAGAAGAAATCCAAAACACTAATTCGAAAAGATATATGCACCTCTATGTTCATCGCAGCATTATTTACAATAGTGAAAATATGGAAATAACCCAAGTGCCCATCAGGAGGCGATTGGATAAAGAAGATATGGTACATATATACAATGGAATATGACTCACCCATAAAAAGAATGAAATCTTACCATTTGCGACAACATGGATGGACCTAGAGGGTATTATGCTAAGTGAAATAAGTCAGACCGAGAAAGACAAATACCATATGATCTCACTTATATGTGGAGTCTAAAGAACAAAATAAATGAGCAAACAAAACAGAAGCAGACTCATAGATAGGCACAGAGAATAAACTGATAGTTGCCAGATTGGGGGGTGGTGGTTGGAGGCTGGGTGAAAAAGGTGAAGGAATTAAGAAATACAAATTGGTAGTTACGAAATAATCATGGGGATAGAAATAGGGAGCAGGAAGTTGGAAGGCGCACTTGTGTCTAAATGCCCTGGAGCCTCCAGTCCAGGTCTAATAACCTTTCTCTCTCATTTAAGTCATTATTGCAATGAGTGTCTGTTAGAGGAGCCAACTTTATAAGGAATATGTCTTCCTTTTTTAAGCTACATTCCAACTTCAAGGCATTTTTGATGAATGTAGGTGATTGCTCCATAAAAGTGACACTAGAGAAAGAAGGTGCAAACAAGTAGGAAAACTCTGGTGGAGATGAGAGATGAGAAATGATTTCATGGTATTGAGACAGAGAAAAACCCAGGAAGTAAAAAACTGTGAGAAGGACAAAGAGATGTGAGGGTTAGTCTCCATTTGTTCTGAGAACCTCCTTTCCATCCTTCTGTTTGGCATCCCAAGAGGGTGGCTTCCATGTACCTCATCAGCAGGACCCTGTACTGGTTTCTGATTGAATTGAGCCACCAGGAGATGAGGGCAGGGGGAGGGAGAGTTGGGCTTTTCATTTCCTGGCACTCTCCCTGCTGGGCTGTGTGTTGGCAGTCCTTCTCCCACCGTCTGGTGGTCCTCTCCTACTGCTACTGTTATGGCTATGGCTATACCCTCTCTGGGTAACTGCTCTATCCCTGGTCCCCTTAAGCGGTGGGGTGGGACTAGTGCTGCCACTATTGCTTGCCTTAGGCTGCTTCACAGTGCCTTGTCACTTTACCTTAAACATGCTCAAATGTCACTTTATAAACAACTCCTCATTAATCTCAGTGGACTGTTTACTTCTGGGATTCTGTCGGGTCCAAAAGAGAAAAGAACTTTGAAAAGCCAATAAAATCTGGGTTAACAATGAAATCTGGGTTAACAGCACTTATGCTCTGGGAAACAATACCTGCATGTTACCTTGCTGCCTGAATTACTGTAAGAGGCAACATACTTTCCATGACAACAGACTTGAATGGTTGGAATGAACAGGAGATTATGGGAAAGTGGATTAGAAGGGAGAAAGGTTCTGGTTGACCCCATTTACACTTCTCACTGTCTGAGCTGCTGCACCCAAAGATGCTGGAAGAGAGCTTCATATCTCCTGCCTTTTCCTGAAGGATCCACATGACCCCTGCATGTAGCACCCAACATTGGAAACACAGGGATGGAAACTTAGAGCAAAAACCATAACTGGCTTTGGAAATAAGACAGTTCTGGATATATATTCTTACCATTCTTTCATTCTTGTAGCCAAAGGTGGAGAGCTGACCTGTGCCGAAGGGGAGAGGCTTTCTGGGATTGAGTGATGCCAGAGGATACTTCGCTGTCCTGTAAATCGGGAGATGTGTGCACAGCTGGAGTGAAATTTTGTAACTAAGAAAAGTTTATCAAGCATTGGACAGACTTTGCAGTTTCCTGTGCAGGAACTATGGGCAATTCAGAGAGCAGAGCTGTCTGAGACACGATCATTCACCAAGATGTTTTTCAGCATTTGTACCACTTCCACTCACATTATCAGCCTTTGCCATCCTACCCCATCCGGTCCACCTCCCAGCAAGTAACCACTGTTGTGGAGCCTCGAGTTGACAACCATGAGCCTGGAGAGCAATGTCAAGCAATGTAAGTTTGCATTGTGAGGCTTTACAATGAAAGAATAAAGTCTATCATAGGGTGATTGAAAGTTCACCATGGCCTGAATCCACTTTTTGTTTGTTGTTTCAATTATCATAGCAGTAATGTATTCATGTGTATAATTTCTTTCCAAATGATAAAGAAGTATATACAAGGTGACAGTCTCCCTGAATCCAATCTCCAGTGTCATTTATGACACTTTCTATTCTAATTTATTTTATTAGCTCTGAGTGGTAAACTCATATTTTTAATTTATCAGCATTTTTTAACCAGTGGATCAAATAACTTCCATTATAAAATGTAAGGTGTTCAGCCCACATAACATATTCTTCTTCTTCCTTCCTGCACTTCACTTGTTTTCATTTGGTGTAAATATTAAAAATTTAAGTCTTATCTCCTATATCTTGCTTTAGTGTTCATCATGCTACAGTCATATTAAGCTACTTGTTATTTTTAAAACTGTCATTTGAATTGGAAACTATTTCAAATATTCAGAAGTTCTTCAATGGATTCATTCAGCAAATATTTAATAATGACCTTTTTATAGGCTGAATTGTGTTCCCCCAAAATTCGTATGCTGAAATCCTAACTCCCAGTACCTCACAATATGACTATTTGGAGATAAGATCTTTAAAGAGGTAATTAAGTTAAAATGAGGTAATTAGGGTGGGCACTAATCTAGCATGACTGGCATCTTCATAAGGAGAAAAGAGTAGGATATAGACATGCAAAGGGAAGACGATGTGAAGACACAGGGAGAAAATGCCATCCATAAATTAAATAAGAGGCCTCAGAAGATATGAACCCTCCCAACACCTTCATCTCAGAATTCTAGTCTCCAGAACTGTGAGAAAATAAATTTCTGATGTTTAAGCCACTCACTCTGCTGTATTTTGTTATGGCAGCCCTAGAGAACTGATACAGACCTACTGTGCCCCAGGCACTACTTCAGGCAATGGCGTTCCAGTATAAACAACAACCATAAACTGATATCATAGCCTTTTCCTTTTCTTTTTTTTTTTTTTT